TAATTTTTAAAATTATTAAATATTATCTAATATTAATTTTTAAAATTATTAAATATTTAAAAATAGATTAATATTTATTTTTATAAAATTTAATTTAAAAATATCAACATATAAATATATTTTTAAAATTAATTTTATTATGGTGAAATCAAATTATCATATTCAACCTAACAATTTAAATTTTAAAAAATTTGAATTGACTCATCCAAACAAAATATTTTAAGAATGATAGAAATTGAAATCAAAGTAATCCAAATACCAAGAATTTAAAATTCCTTGAATTTGTAAAATTCCTCATCCAAACACACCATAAGCGAAAAATTCTAGGTTATTTAAGAAAAATCTCAATTCTTTGATAATTTTTGTTAAATAATTCTACACTAAGGTTAACGACCAAAAGTTGAGTGATAAGATTCATCTCAATTTTTCGGTAATAAATGTTTTTAGCATTTTACCTAGATTGTTATTCTAAAAATGTTTTCCAACCTCAATTAAAATTATAAAATCATGCATTGACCAACACGCATTAAGTACAAAGTAAAAGCAATTAATGGAATAAAAACAATATATTAAATGAGAATAGGGAAGATTACATGAGTACAACAATTACATCTATCTCCAACACTAGAGAACTTAGTTATGATTTACATAAGAGAAGAGAAATCTTTGATTGACCCGTGATTACAAGGATGCTCTCCGACAACTCTCTCCAATCTTCCTAAAATTGTGCTTAGAAAGGTAAATTAATGGATATAGAGACCTTCTAAATATTTTTATTTTTATAATATTTTTTAATGAGCTTTTAGGTTAAATTTACTCACTCAAAGAGCCCATGTGGCTCGCTTTGAACGAGCATGTATGTGCTTACAAGGTTGTTCTCTGACCTCACTCCCTCAAGGCAAGACTTGTAACTTTCAAATTATTTTTCCTTTGTTACATCTCAACAAAGAAAAATATTAAAAAATATAATATTTAAAAAATTAAATCCTTAAATGAAATAATCACTTGATTAGATATTTTGTAGTAAAAAAATAAGATTTAGAAGTATAATATACATTAGTAATTACTTAAATTAAATAAAAAGTATACATATTAAAAAATTATCATGCGGACTAATTAAAGCAGAGAAATAAATAGTGGCATATATAATGCCACCATTTGGTTACAACTAGGGGTGGGTATACGGACCGGTCTAGTCCGTTTAAGGCTTAATCCGTAAAATCCACGTTTTATATTGACCAGATAAGTTCGATCTGTAAATTAAATAGACTTATCTTTTAAGTCCATATCCGACCCGCCAAAATTCACAGATAACGGACCGGTCCGTGAATCTAAATAATGATTCAAAAAAATAATTTTTAAAAAATAAAAATACATAAAATTAGAAGAAAAAAAATATTTTTTTATTTATAAGCTAAATTTTATCACACTAAAATTTATCAATAGTTAAGATGGTTTAAAATACTAAATATTAAAATAAAAATAATTATATATTTATATAATAGTACCAAACTTTCAATGATAAAAGCATCAAAATGCCATAAAAATAATTCAAATGACAAATATCAACTAAACATAGTTTTAATGCCATAATAATTTTAAAAAATTAAATACACAACTTAATATTAAAATCTTAATATCTAAAAATATTAATTAATAAAGTTTATGAACTAACTCGCGAGCTCGCGAATTAAATCTATCAAGTCCATGACTTCACAGATCGGACTCAAAAATTAAACATAATCATATAAATTTAAAAAAAAAATAGATTCATTATTCGTGAAATCTGCGAGCTTAGAGATTGGTACACGAACCCGAATCCATCTACCTACCCCTTGTTACAACCCATCCGAGGTATTTCCTATTGTCGGAATAATGGCTTATCGAAGCGGAGTGACTGAGTGAGGTTTCAACGTGATGAAAAAAGAAAAAGAAGAAAAAAGTCTAATCTGGTGACTATGAATACA